GCAGCAGGAGACACCACCTTCCCAAGTGTGGTGATTTTACCATCCCTTGTTCCAGGCTTTGTTAAGAAATATGAACATTTAGTGAGGCCTTGGCACTTGAAAAAGAGGATTGAAGCTCATCCAGGCTGTTGTCTCCCCATATTCTCCATTCTGTGAGTATTATTTATACATTTCTAAATGTTTCTGTCTTTCTGTTTCATTTTTCTCCCCAGAAAAAATGAGTGTTCCTGTGCTTCTCAGAACAATTCCCTGATGTGTTTCCTGCTTCTTAGGTTTTATTTCTCCCTGGTTTCATGGGTTTAGGGATGTCACACTGATCACTGACCTCCCTGCTCCCCACCCCTTTCAAATCTGTCCAAGTGTGCATTAACTAAGAGCAACAAAATTAGTGCTGTTAATTTTTATAATCCTGGCTTAGTCCAAGGGTTGTTAATTACCCTGATTATCTTGTCTTTTGCTGCTTAATTGATTGGAACTGAAAGGCACCCTGTATCCTATCCCAAGCTTTTCTAACTCATCTTCAGTGGCTGGAGAGAGATTGGTCATGTTTTCAGTTGGTTTGGGGTGATCTTGGCAATTTTCTGGTCACGAGTTTTAATGATGGAGCAGTTTGGAGTTCCTTGGAGAGAGGCTGTTTATAAGAACATGGAGTGACAGGACAAGGGGGAATGACTTCAAACTCAAAAGGAGTAGATTTTTATGGGATATTAGGAAGAAATTCCTGGCTGTGAGGGTGGGGAGGCCCTGGCACAGGTTGCCCAGAGAAGCTGTGGCTGCCCCATCCCTGGGAGTGTCCAAGGCCAGGTTGGAACAACCTGGGACAGTGGAAGGTGTCCCTGCCCATGGTAGGGGTGGAACTGGATGATCTTTAAGGTCCCTTCCAACCCAAACCATTCCATGATTCCATGACCTTGCTACTACTACTGGATCTTACTACTCCTACAAGAGGCTCTTGTATCCACAGCCTTAAAGTTGCTCATAATTTGTGTTTTAATGATATTTTCACGGTTTTTTCCCCACTATTTTTCATTTCTGATGCTCAGATTTCAGAATGACTTCTGAGAAACTTTCTTCTGTTGGCAGAACATTTCCACAACACATATAATGTTCCTGAATCCCATATTGGAAGTGTTGCCTGCATTTGGGATTTCTCCTGTGGGACAAGCCTTTTAATTTTGTTCAATTTTTCCATAGTCTGATCAAAACAACTTTTGAATGTTTTCTTGGTGCATTAACACTATGAAATTTCTGTTAACAGTAGCAGCCAATTAGCAACTCTTTAATCTCCTATATTGTTTGTCAGGATGTGACAAAGTGACAGGCTCTGTACTAATTAACTGCCTCCTTACTTAAGGAGAAAATTGCTCTTGTTTGACGAATATTTTAAGTTAAAGGAGGACCAGAAAGTCTGGAAACAAACTTATTCATGCAAAGACACATCAAAGAGGCCTGAGTGGCTCAGGTAATTGGGAATGGGAGGGAGGACCTCTCACCTTTTTGTAATAAATCACAAAATTTATGGAGTGGAAAGGATGAGGTAACTTGGGAAAGCTTGAAATGAGTGCAGAGTTCAAGGTGAGGCTCATGAACTTCATCTCATGCTGCCTCAAGTTGGGTTTCTATGTGTTGTTGATATTTATTCAGCTTGAAAAGCAGCTCCCCTGCCTGTGTGCACCTCATGGGCCATTTAGAGGTGACTTTTCACCTCAGAACTCTCTGTGTCCATGGAAAACCTCGCTCCTGACAAGGAGAAAGGTTCAGGAGCACCAAAAAGACAGAGGGGAGTTAAAAAGCTTCTCTCCAAAAATGTTTTTCAAGGCTTCAAACGAGCCTAAATCACCTCGTGTCCAACATGCCACGAGAAACCTGCTGGGGATCCATCACAGCCCGAGGTCTGCAACATTCCCATGAGGAATCCTTGGGATGAAAGGAGAAATTCAGGGGATTGAGTGAAAAATATGGAACGAGGATCAGAGAACAAATCATGATTTCTGTTGTTTGCATGGAAATCAAGTTGCTTTTGCCAACTTTTTTGAGGTGAGGTGCTGCAAACTCACTGAAGTTGAGTTTTGGGGTTTTCAGTCGTTTTTTTGCCCAGCAAAATGTTAGAAATGAATTGAGAAGAAAATTAGCAAAGCTGATTCAGGGATTGTCAGACTTTATGTGCCACCACTGCAGACTTAATATTTGGAATAAAAGAAGTGGCTTTAACTGGAAAACAAAATAATTATGGTTTTGGATGCCTGGTGAAGAAGGAGTTAATTTTTATCTATTTAACTCCTCTGAGAGAGCAGGAGAAATGGTGCATTCTCAGCTGAGCACTTCAGTTCTGGGAAGATTTGGGAAAGCCAGAAGGAATTCACAGAAGAGCAACAAAAATGATGAAGGGACTGGAGAGATTGATGGCTTGATGTATGAAAAATTATGAAAGGAGTTAATATGCATTGCTTGCCCCTGGAAATGATGGATACAAAACATCCAGGGAGCTTTTTGGATCTGATGATGGATTGGGTGGAACAAATGAAGTGGATGAAAGGAATTGTTGTCTGCTGGGTAGCAGGAACAGTGATTTGGGGTTAGATCAGAAGTGTGGGACCAGTATCTCCCTTTTGGCAATGGGGGAGCTGATGCTCATAAAGAAAAAAAATAGGGCCAAGAAAACTCAGTTGGATAATTAGAGATTTATGTGTCTAAGGAGAAAAGTTTATATTGTTGTCTGAAGTCTGGGAAGGTGGAAAGTAATTAGGACAAAAGTAACTCTTAAAAAAACTCAATAACCTGCATGGCCACAGAATCCTTGGTTAATTCTCCAGCAGCACAGGTTTAACAGGAATGTTTTATGACAGGTATATATTTATATATTGGGTTTATAACATATTTGGGATTGCAGCTGCTGAAAATTGGCTGTAAAATAGTCCAGAAGACACAGGATTCCAGGTGAAACCACAGCCATTGTTTGAGACTCACACCTGGACATATTTTGGATGCCAGGTTTTCAGTTTCTTTGCAGGCTGTCACTAAATTGTGGCATTTCCTTGGAATTCCACCTCAAAATTCCATTGGTGACATCACTGAGGGTTGCACTGCACTGAAAATCAGGGGGAATTTGCTCACAGAAAACCAGAATTGAAATAGAATTAGGACAGAATTTCTGGAATAGGAATCCAAGAAGGAGCTCAAGGATTTCTCCCTCCCAGCCACGAGAATTTTCCTGAAGGTGTTGGGCACAAGTGTCCTCAAGCTCAGAGAGCAGAGAGAAGCCTGGGACTAATTAATGATTTCTTTAACGACTTAATGAGTTTTCCTGGAGTCCTCACCCTCTCTCCTGATGACCCCTGGAGTGTGGAGACCTCCTGGAACTGCTGGAGAAGGACCTAAAGGTGCTTCTGGAATCCATCTCATCCAGTGGCAAACCCAAATCCTGTTGTTTATGGGATTAATTACTTGAGGAATCCATAATTAACTCCACGTTGTTTTCTTCCCTTTCTTTCTTTTCCTGTGGGAAATGTGGAGTCCCTGATATAAAATATGAGCAGTAAATGGTCCTCAGTTATTCAGAATTCTTTCCCAGTTCCTGCTTTCTGTTTTCAGTCAATCATATACAATAATAGGCTATTTGTCACCACAGATATCTGTGTACATAAAAGATAAGTAGGCACTGAATATATGCTTTTAACAATGTTCTCAGCCCTGCCAGTGATATATTATTTTCTTTTATCTCTTCTGTATCTCTCTGTATCAGGGGAGTGTCACTGGGTGTATCCCAGTGTAACAGAATGGATTTTAATCAACTGCTGAGAAAATGAGATATTACATTAGGACAAGAATAGCTGCTTGATAGAAACTCCTCTTTAAAAGTGCAATTCTTCAGCGTTCTGGCTTTTGTTGCCGTTGTGGAATGATGAATAAAAATGACATTAAAAAAATAATCTAACTTTGGGTGTTTTTTCTCAGGACAGAAAAGGCAGGATTTGTGCCAGAAAAGAGGATTCTTATGGCATCCACTAAGGTGCAAAGAGGAATGAACACACTAAAAATGTAAGTTATAAAGGTGCAAAGTGAGTGTGAGCAAGGCCTGTCTGTCATTGCACTGGTATTTAAAAAAATGGTGTTTTACCAAAAAAAAAGCCTATGTAAAAGTGCTGTTTGAAGGGACCATTTTTGCTCCCATTCTCCCTTTGCATGGACAAATAATCCAACTTCTTATCTATTAATTTTTAAAATAGATGAGTAACTCATTGCTGCACTTGAACTGCTGAAAACCTGCCCCTTCCCCCCCTGGATTTTAAAGGCTTATTTAATAAAAAATAAATAAATAGTGGGTCCCAGAAGAACTGGCTCTTTTTCCCAAGAATAAAGCACGTTTTGCAGATGTGGATGTTGCAAATGCTGTTACAATTTTGGAGGTGGTGCTTCCAGCTGTGGCAAGAAGAGTCTCTGCAGCACGGGTTGAACTCAAGGAAAGCAGTTTGTGGTCTGGACTCGGTTTAAAATTCAGAGTTTGTGGTCTCCTTTTAGCCCAAGTTGTTAAATTATTAACATTTTCTCTTCCCTAGATGTTTTAACAACATCACCCTTGAGCTGTTTTGCTCTTCTTGTGTCCAAAACCTTCGGTGCCTCCTGGCTGGGGAGGGAAACTTTTCCTCCTCAATTAAATCACCGAGATTGTGAGCGAAGGCAATGGGCTCAGAAAGGATTTGTTTTCCTGGGAATTGAGATCATGGCAAGCAGGAAAAGAGCTCAAGCAGGTTCTTAGAGATCCAAGCCTTATTTTTTTTGCATTCCCAGGAAGCTGAGTGGGGTTATTTTTGGGAGATGATCACCCTCAGTGCCTGCTGGTGCGATGGAATAGCGGTTTCCAGGTTTTTTGGGGGATGGGATGGAGTCTTTAGCTGAGGTTTGGTGCCAACCTTTCCCTGATATCTCTGTGCTTAATGCAGGTAACACAACAAATCCTGGGGCTTACACCAGATTTCAAGGATAATAATGAAGAAACTAAAGATATTTTCAAGGATAATGAAGAAACTACGGACATTTTCAAGCTTCACACCCTTAATTTCGATGTTTTGGGTAACTGCTCTTCTCCCTCCAAAGTTATTGTAATTTTATCCTTATTAAATGCCATGACTTCTATCTCAGTAAAAGAAATACAGGCAAGAAAACAATCTGACTGATTGTTTAGGTGGTGGATTAGCAGCATCTCAGAGAGAAGGGAAGTGTTTCAGAGCAGTGCCTGCTTCACTCAGTGATCCTGTTCCATTCTCCTTTCCTTTCCTCATGTGATGAATGGCATGAAATGGGGTCATGGAACCTGAACACTTCAATTTAAACAGATGACTCTTCTTTCTAATCAGCACCCAGGAGCACAGAAAACAGGGCATTCCTGAGCAGAATTAATTGCACTTAAAAGGAAATGTGTGTGCACTGGAGAAGCTTCTCTATCATGGGGGACAGAAAATCCAAAAACTGATTTCCAGGTAAGATTTCTTATTTTTTCTGACATTAAATGTATGAAACTAGTGAATTGTTTTATAATTTATAAAAGTTTGATGGTAGTAAAAATTGTGGCAAGCTGGTAACACACCAGTCCAGAAGACAGAGCTAAAAATCTTGGATATTAGGAAGGAATTCTTGACTGTGAGGATGGGGAGGCCCTGGCACAGGCTGCCCAGAGAAGCTGTGGCTGCCCCAGTATCCCTGGGAGTGTCCAAGGCCAGGTTGGAGCAACCTGGGCCAGTGGAAGGTGTCCCTGCCCATGGCAGGGGGATGGAATGAGATGATCTTTAAGGTCCCTTCCAATCCAAACCATTCTGGGATTTTTCCCATGATTTTTAATCAATAAAATGAAGTTGGATGAGACCTTCAGGCTAAATGGCAGCTTTTTGGAAACTCTACAAAATGTCTAGCTGAGTTTTGCATTGCTCTGTTAACTCTGTGCGTGTTGAACGTAGCGAGCTAAAATTGCAATATTTCTTCATGTGCTGCTTTAATGGTAATAATTTAAAGTTTAATCATGTTAATCCAATAATAATAATAAATCATTATCATTAAATAGCCTCATTCCCTCAAATCAGTGACTTTCTTTAGGACGAGTCACTCTTGCCTAAACATTCCTTGCTTGCAAACTTGCAATTTGACCTTTTAAATACCTCCAAATCAGGAAAAAGGGGCAACTTTCCAGCAGTTTTTCAGGAAAAAAAGGAGTTCAGCACTCAGAGAGGCTCAGCTGGCACTGGGGAGGGGAGTGTTAAACATCTTCCATCAGGTTGGAATATCTTGTTTAATAAATCAGAGCATGAACTGAGAGTCCAGGAGGGAGGCCCAGGAATGATCAAGCCCTGGAAAACATGAGCAGTGATTAAAAGTTTAAGTGACTTGAGGCTGCTGGGAAAGAAGAGAAGTCTGAAACAGAATATTAGAACAATCTTAAAGCCTGAGGTAGGTTATTATAAGAATCTTCAATTATATGAGGGCTGCTTTTTATGGAATAGGAACAGACGAGGTGCTGTTGAGGAGATGGCTGGGAGTGCTCAGAAATCATCTGAAAGCAGGAAAAATGTCAAAATAACTAAGTTAGCAACACAATGGCTCTGTTTCCAAAGCAAATCCATGGAAAAGTCCTGGCCTTTAGCCACTGGTGGGTTTGAGGTCACACCCAGTCTCTTGATCTTGCTTTACTAAACCAGGTTTGGTAAGTCTAAGGGGAACACAACTCCTCCTTCTGCTGGACCCAGAAGCACAGTTATTGAAAGCAGAGCTGCTGCCAGTTCCTGCACTACTTTGGGGCTGCTTGTCTTCCAAATCCACTGCCTGGATTTGCTGTAATTTGTCTTCATTTGGTTAAAATCTGGGGCTTTAGTTTGAGGTGTTTAGGAAGAGACTGGTTAACTCAGTGCCATGGTCTAGTAGGGAAGGTGCTGTGAGCTCAGAGGTTGGACTTGATGATCTCAGAGGTCTTTTCCAAACTAGTTGATTCTGTGATCTCACCCAAAGCCAAGGAGCACTTCTGTGCATCTCTTTCCTTGATGGACACACAAATTTGGGGACAGACCCAGCTCCCACCAGAGAAGTTAGAAAGAATCCTCCTCGTTTCTGTGGGTTAAACCAGGCAGGGAACACTTTTGGGCTATTATGCTGGCCCGTGGATGTTGAGGGCAGAGGTAAAATAGCTCCTGTTTGGCTTGGAAAGTGGGCAAATCCAGGAGTGGATTGGGCAGATGTGGTGCTAAACTGAATTAGTAGGGCCTGGTGGTCCAGAACTGAGCATCAGCAAAAACAATTTGGTAATAAGGGGTAGAAAATGAATTGTGAGTGTCCCTGGGGTGATGTAGAACAACCTACATCATCACCCAGCAGCTCTTTGCCCTGGTTCCACCAGGTGACACCATAAAACATCACTTTTAAGCAAACCCAAGGCAGTGTGTGATTCCAGCCTGAAAAGCCCTGCCAGGTCCATGGGAACCAAAACTCTTCCCTGCTGAATATCCTGAACCAGCAGCACCATCCCTTTCACCCTTCACAGAGTTCATCATTGCTGCACTCCAATTCCCTCAGCAGGAGACAACAGGAGCCAAAAGTAAAATAATTGTTTCTCCTTGCAGAGGAATGCTCTGAGAAAGGGCCCCAGGGACTATTCTAAGCAAGTCCAATTTTTTCAACCATATCTAGAAAGAGTTCTGCCATCTGCTTTTATCCCATAATTTACACAAGGCTCAGCCAGAGACAGAGAGCAATAAAACCTCCTGCCCCCCTCCTGGGGAAAGGTGCCTCTTAAAGAGGATTGGTGACCCCACTGGGCCAATTTGGGTTGAAATTATTGCTTGGATATTGGAAATTCTCCGGGCAAGAAAGCAAAGTACAGTGGCATAAGGAGCAGAAGTTACTTGTTTTTCCCTCAGTTGTTTTTTCCCCCCCTTATCTAAAAGTGTTTAGCATTTAATAGAGGGTATAAATGACTTCTGTGTGAGTAAAGAAGGTGGAAGTAAACTGGGATAGCAATATCATGGTTTTTATTATATTACACGTGTTTAAAGGTACTTTTGAAATAATAACTGACCTTATTGTGAAGTCTATGACTCCTCTAACAGGCTGCTGGGAAATGGATTTAAGTAACACATTTAAGTGGATTAAACCCACCTACAGGACACAATGAGAACAAAATTTAGCAGGAAGGTGATGGAAGACAGCAGAAGGGACCTCGATCACACACTGATGGGTGGTAAATGTTTTGTAAGAGCTCAGCTGTAAAACATTCACACCTCCAGCCTGTTCTCTGAGTGCACACAGAGATTTGACCACAAATGCAGCTGCAGCTTGTTGTTTCTGGGACAAATAATTCGTGTTAGAGCTGCTGAAACTGTGCACTCAGGTATTTCGGGAGGGTTTGTGGTTTATGAGGAGGAAAGTCTGCCCTAAAAGGCAGTGGCAAAGTCACTGAGTCTGCCAGAGGTGTGTGAGAACTCAGGAAAAAAGGGAAAGTTGAAATTTTTAACAGAGACAAACTCAAAGTCACAGAATCTGCCCAGTTGGAAGGGACCCACAAGGATCATCCAGTCCAACCCTTATCCCTGCTCAGGACCATCCACAGGAGTCACAGCACGGGCCTGAGAGTGTCACAGCAGCTCAAAGCTCAAACATCCAGCAGGAATAACATCAGGAATTCAGGATCTGGGAAGTGAAGTGCTTTAGACAAACCTATTTGCCAAGATATTTGTGTCAGCACTGGTGTGGCAGCAGGGCCAGGACAGTGATTGTCACCCTGGGCACTCCTGGGGCACCTCCAGTCCTGGGGGCAGTTTTGGGACCCTCACAACAAGGACATGGAGGGGCTGGAGCCTGTCCTGGGAAGGGAACGGAGCTGTGGAAGGGGCTGGAGCAGCAGGAGCAGCTGAGGGAGCTGGGGGGGCTCAGCCTGGAGAAAAGGAGGCTCAGGGGGGACCTTCTGGCTCTGCAACCCCCTGACAGGAGGGGGGACCCGGGGGGGTCGGGCTCTGCTCCCAGGGAACAGGGGACAGGAGGAGAGGGAACGGCCTCAGGCTGTGCCAGGGGAGGGTCAGGCTGGAAAAGAAAGAAAAATTCTTTGTGGAAAATGTTATCCAGCCCTGGCACAGCTGCCCAGGGCAGGGGTGGATCCCCATCCCTGGAGGGATTTAAAAGCCCTGTGGATGTGGCACTTGGGGACATGGGCCAGTGGTGGCCTTGGCAGTGCTGGTGAAACAATTGCATTTGATGATCTCAGAGGACTTTTCCAACCTAAATGATTCCATGATTCCATTCCATTCCATTCCATTCCATTCAGGGTTGCTGAAAAACCCTCCACCTGGTCCCAACTCCCCACTCTTTGATCCTCACTGGATATATTCTAAGATATTTCTCTATTCCAGGTGTCCATTTCCAATCAGCCTTTCACAAAACACCAAACCTGGAAAGAGAGGGAATCTTTTTAACACAAAGGCCACAAGTCAAAGCTTTATTTTAGCAGGTTTGTCATTCCTTGGTAGAGATTTTATTTAGCAAAACTCCTTGCCAGTGTATAGGAAGGAGAGAACCGAGGCAGCGAAATTATAGCACGTGTTGCCAAATGACTCTTTAATTAGGAATTATGTGTTTTTTCCATGCCTGTAATCCCTGGCATTCAGGGCTGGTGAGCAGCCAAGGGGAAGAGGCACATGGAGAAGAAGAATGTGGCATTCAGGAGAGGTAAGATGAAGTGTCCAGTCAAAACAAGTCCAAATGATAAGGTTGGCACGGGCCATTCCCTCCTCCCCCCTTTCCCCGCCTTCCCACAGCACAATCCAGAAAGGAAGAGCCACAAGCTATTCATGAACAACACCAGCCTGACTTCAGCATATTAAAAAGTGTTCAGTCAGATAATTACCCTTAATTATTAATCCTTTCTCGTGATCAGCTTAGGTGGCAACGGTGCAGAAAAAGCAAATAGTTGGGTATTTGCAATCTGCTGTGCCAGGCTCAGCTCTGGAGTTTGGCACCTGGTGATTCAGCTCTTCTGTGCTTCCCAAAGACTTGAGAGAAATGACAAAGCAGCTGTTTTTGTAAAAATCGTTTACCTCCTTCAAACTTTTCCAGTCACTTCTTTTAATGCCCAGCCAGGCTCGAGGCTGCCCTGGAGTTGCCAGGCTTTGAACAGTCCCTGGGGGGGTTGAATTCTGCTGCAACTTTAAGAACAAATTGCAATCTGCTTTTTATGTGTTTTTTTTGTTTTGTTTTTTTTTTTTTTCAATTTTTGTTTGAATGTTTACCAGACCAACAACTTAGTTACTTTCTGTAAGTCTAAGAAATAAACTGCAGCTCACTTTTAAATGTGTCTTCAATGGCTGGCACAGAACAGCTTGGCAGCAGGTGAATTTGCATTAAGATGATCATTGGAGTAATTAAAAAGCTTGGGAACAGCCCTTTTTCTTAGAGGTAGGTGGGACTTGCTGTCTTCTCTTTGCCAAAGGTCTGATACCCCCTGATTTTTGAATCCTCTGGGGACTTTTATCTCTGCTCTATCTTTGGAGCTGCTCTTTGTTGGCTTCCCACTGACACCGAAATCGGTTGTTCCTGTGTTTTACAATCCCTGGGATGTGCCGTGGGATCTGTAATTAACACCTGGCCCGAGCTCTTTGTTTTCCTGGATGAGCATTTCAGGGAGGATTTGGTCTCCCCAGAGGGTTGTGGTGGCTCCTGTTGGCACTTCCAGCAGAGCAGCAGCTGAGCTGAGAGTACCAAACTTTCCTGAAGATTTTTCCAATAAAATCACAGCTCAGAAGTGGTTTTTTGGGGGGTGTTCTACTTTGTACAGGATGCTCTGAGATACCTGGTTATATTTTGCTGGCTTTTGCCAGACACCCAAGTGGAATATTTTGGGTTTTTGCTTTACTTTTCCACTTTTCCTCCGCTTCCCTTTACCAGGCTTTTAGTTCTGACTTAACATCCCGATGACTTTTATCCATGCTAATGATTTACTGGTAAAAAACGGTTTTTAAACAGTAATAATTCTTCACCATTTTGCTGAAGCCTGAGGTTTTGTTAAGTTTTGATAAGGGATAAAACTTAGAGAATGTTGGAAGGGTTGGAAGGGACCTCAAAGCTCATCCCATGGGCAGAGACACCTTCCACTCTCCCAGGTAGCTCCAAGCCCTGTCCAACCTGGCCTTGGACACTTCCAGGACCCAAATCAGGAGCCAAGGGCAGGTTCCAGAAGGAAAACCATCTCCCAAAGCCAATAGATTGGACAACTTTTATCCTGAGGAACAGGGGAATTAATTAACAAGCCAGGATTAATGAGGGAAGTTGATGAGAGTGGGGCTGTTTGCAGGATAATTTATAAAAGGCTGTGTAAATAAACTCTTGAAGGCAGGAATCAGCCCTTGCTCTGTTTGAGAAGTGGAGCTGCCTCTCAGTTCCTCCCCAGACATTTCTATAATTCCCAGTATAACATAGAATTAGTTGTGTTAGGAACAGTTTTGAAGTTATGGAATCATACCTGCGTGTGTGGAATGGCACCTGGGTATTAGTGGGGAATAAATGCAGAGAACTGTTGCAGAGAGGATCACCAGACACAAGAATTCCTTCATGGTTTTTTCCCCTTTTGTGTCTCTTGTTCCCTGCTGGGTTCTGCCCTTCTGACTCAAATCACCTTGAAAATTTCTCCTCCTGCAAAGATGCTGAACTACTTTAAATTTTCTATGAAAAGGCAGGATTTACGAAAACCCATATAATTATAGCTGGATAACTTAACATGGATTTTTTTTCTTCTGTGGAGTTCTTTCTTTGCTGATTAAACAGACTTTCTACCCTTTCTAGTGTCAGGGATGGAAGGTTGGGGGTGAAACTCTGTCTTTGCACAGGCAGGGCTTGACAGCTGCTCTCAGCCTCCCTCTTTTTAACCCTGTTTTTAAAATAAAATTTAATAAAAGCTTTCCAAGGGTTCTGGTTACACTTGAGGTGAGTTTATCACTCCAACCTTCCATCAGCTCTTATCCTGGTTCCCTACAGCCTCCAGTGAGGTTGAGATCCCTTTGCCATGGGGAGCTTGAGGTGATGGATGACAATTGCAGGCATAAACAAGTCACTATTTATTATTATTGTTGTTATTAATATAATGGTGGTGTCGTTTGGGGTTAGATTAAAAAGCAAAAGGGTGTTTTCCTCTCTGAAATTGGGTTTAGTGCCCCCTGGGCTTTGCAAAGCCAATAAATAAGTTGTTTTCCTCAGCCAAGCCTGTGACCCGGACGACTTGAGCAATCCTGATGTGTTGGCAGATTTTCCTGGAGCACAAAAGGAGCAGAAGGGGCTGGGATAACACTGATCTCAGTGTGTTCAAGCACTGCAATATCAACAGGGTCCAAAATATGAATCCTGTGACACCTGAGAGTGGTGTCTTGTAGAGGTCCCCACGCAAAAAAAAGGTGAAAAGTGGGAGATTTCCAGAGACACAAATGGGAGCTGAACTTTTGACAGCTGGACTGGATCCTCTCAGAGGTCTTTTCCAATAATCCTGGATATTTTGGATAATTTCCAATTATCCAAAAGCTGTTACCTTTTGGTGGGAGGTAGGTGTTTAATTCCACATATATAGGTTTTTCACCAGGAAAACAAGGGATAAATTCCCTTCAAAGTACAAGTCATACTTAAATCCTGAATTCTGTCCCTTTATCCAGGTTTTCAGGTGCTAAAGGTGTGGTAACTAAACAGCACAACCCAATTTTCATGTCACCATCCCCAGGAAGCTCTGTGAGGACTTACAACCTCGAGATGGGACAAAACAAAGGTGAGTTTATGATGTGTTGCAATGAAAACACCTGTATAGATCCAATTATCTTTAAATTTCTTAAAATGGCTGAATTCTAAGGGGGAAAAATGGAAATTCAGAGAGGTTCATGTCTTTTCCTCACTTGCATATTCACAATCTCCAGGGTCAAATTGTCTCCAAGCTTCTCATTCTTTCGGGCAGGGATGTTTTTGGCCTCAGGTTTGGAAGATGATGGTTGATTTTTGGTGAATTTAGGTAGTGTCAAGGCTCAGGAAGGAATAAAAGCAGCTGAAGTAGAAACAGAATTTTCATCTGTGTGGCTGAAAAATCTGAGCCTGTCATTTCTGGGAGAACTTGTAATTTTTGTGTGTTATTGAAGACGCTCCTCCGGTCTTTTTGAAGTCCCTTGAACTAATAAACTCTGCCTCTTACTTAAAGCACAAAGCTGACAACATCAGTTCTGAAGAGCAGAGGAAGGAGGAAGCTGGGAAAAAATATTCTCTGGTGAAGACATCTCGTTTTTTTAGCTTAAAGCAAACGCTGAGGCCACGTATGACCCTGTGGAAAATGTTCCTTAAAATGCTCCTTAAGATGCCAGTGTTTACAAACTGGCTTTCAAAAATAATTAGAATTAGCCCAGGGAGTGGAATCCATGGGGATGGATTTAGGCAGGGAGCCCACATGGAGCCCAGTTGACTCCAGTGGTTCAAACAGACAATAAACTGGCCGAAATTGGGGATGATATCTCAGGAATATGCTGCTTGAAGGAACCTCTCAGATCTTTTGGGCACCAACAACATTTTAAAGTATTGCAGGTAGAGCATAAAAGAAGCTCTAATTGAGAGGGCTTTCTAAAAATGTGCAGTGGATAATAAACGATCACCAGAAGAATAAAGAGGTTTAAAATCACCCAAAGCGATTTTGCTGGAGAACCATGTCTGTAGGAATTGATGTTATAAAATAAATGACATAAAAATCTACTGAAGATAAATTGTAGGAACTTCTGGCATAGCATTTTTTTTTTAAATTCTTTAAGTACCATAAAAGCATCCTAAGCATGAATAGGATTAGAATTTTCCTGGATCCTCTGTTCCAGTGGGCCCAGGAATGAGCACACAAAGCACCAGTGGCTTTTCTGCTTCATCTCACAGTGGATGAGCACTGGGATATTCTAGATATTCTAGATTGTTTTGCTGTCTGAATAATTCAATCTGGTGCTGTAAACACAGGTTATTCTGGTGTGTCAGGGCAGCAGGAATCCACAGTGATCCCAGAGACTCCCAGTGTGCTCCTTGCAGGACAAGAAATGAAATATCCCTGGTGGGAGGATGGCAAGGGAAGGAAAAGTTCTGTCAAAGGAGCTTTGCACTTACTCAGGTAAATCAGGCACTGGAGGGACCTCCAAATCCGTGGCAAAAATGAGGGAATCAAACTTAGTCTCCACATTGCAGTCTTCTAGAAGGAGGTGTTTATTTTTCCCTGAAGTAATGTTCAAACCAGCAGAGTGATAACACAATGTTCCAGGCAGCAATTCCACCTGCCATTTGGAATGCTAAATACTGCAAAACTTCTTTGTACCTTTGTTTAACTCCAAGGCTTGGTCCCTGCCTCTGGAAAACTGGCTGGAATCCCCTGGGTCGCTGCTTGGACACATCTGAGTCCATCAGTTGGGAATGAGCAGCTTTCCGGTGTGTGGGGCAGGTATTTAATAAGTCACAATTTCCCCAGATGAAGGAATTTTGCATGGGAATTTATTGCAATCAGGCTCCTTAAGCTGCTCCTTAATTCTCTGTATCCCATCCACAACTGCACTGATGGTTTGCTTAATAAAAGGAAAACGAGGATAAATTAATCAATCCATATTTTCCATTCACCACAGGCAAAATTTATTGGTATTAACACTTTTCCAATAGGGCTAAAAGAGATTTCACACAAACAGAACCCAAAGTGTTGTTTCATGTCTCTAAAAGTACCAGAATAATTTTTGTTTGCTGCCTGTCAGTGTTCAAAACCCAGGGGAGGGTTATAAAGCATCACACACATCCATGGGAAATGGGAATAAGGAATATCCTTGGACACACTGGTGCCCAGTAAGCAAATAAAGCACTGAAATGAGCCCACAGTGTGATATCGCCAGAGGAGACACGAGGAAGGTTCAATGGGGGCGAAGATAAGAAAGCAAAACACTATTTTCCAGCTTCAAAGACAGTGGAACTAATGTTGCAGGGACATTAATTACATGGGAAAAAATTTAAAACTCTCAAAATGCACTTGACAGAATCCCTTTAAACTAATATAGTGTTAGAGCCTCCTAATGGGTTCTGGCTCCAATAAGTTTCCACGATTTTCTCTTTACTTAAGTCTTAAACTCCCCAAATGAAATGCAATTGGAAAATCAGTTATCTTGTTTTGCTTTATGCTCCTGCTAACTCAGCATCGTTCTATGAGCTTGTTTTCCACTCTCTGAGTTTTCCCTCTCTGTCACTGCCCCAGAGCTGGGTTGAAGCAGAGCTGAATTATCCCTGGGTTAAAATAGGGTTTCATTCCTCTCTTCTTCTCTCCACAGGCCCAACTTCCACTGAACTCCAGAATTCATCAACTATCACAAAATTATTCCTGGGGTGGGCCCAAGAAGGGGGCTCTGAAGTCTCTTTGGAATGGGGACCACAGGTAAAATTAGAAGATCCAGAATGAAGGGACCTCAAAGCTCATCCAGTTCCACCCCCTGCCGTGGGCAGGAACCCCTTCCACCATCCCAGAGTGCTCCAACCTGGCCTGGGACACTTCCAAGGAAAATCATGTTCTGCTGAAGCCTGTTTGAGGCTGGGAATGTTTTGTATCTGTCACACCTGCACAGTCCTTTTCTCAGGTTGGTGTTACTTTTTGGGATCTGTATAAACCATATTTCTGTAACTATTAGTACTTAGTTAAAGGAAAGCAGAGTGTCCATATGGGAATGCTGTTCTGACCCATGGCTAATCCCTTTTTAGCTCAGAAAACAGCACTTAAAACTGCTGAGGCTCTTTTATACCTTCACATGGGTCAGTTTTAAATCCATATCACAATATAAATCAAGAGATACTGACTTAAGAACTTATTTATGTAAAGCTAGATGGGAAAAATCTGTTTATTTATGCTACCAGATGTGATCAACAGAAGCACAAGGCAATGGGTCTGCCATAAAATGAAGTTCTGGAGGAAAATATTAATCAAAACCCCAAAAGGGTTTCCAGCCCTTCTCTTGTCTCTGCTCAGCAAGTGTCAAAGGGAAAGTTTGTCCTCATTTTGCAGCCTGAGAAAAGGCACCTCTGCTGAGCTCCTGCTGAGCTGGAAAAGGTTATGTTCAAACTGCTCCACTGCAGAAAAGCCACGTTTAATTGGGATTCTCCTCTCCTGGGAGCTCTCCCTTGGTGAGGGAAGGGAAATCTCTGCCTTTGCTGCAGCATCAGAGGCAGAGGGGGGGACACCCAGTGCTGGCACCAAGGAGGGCAGAGGAGCTGAGTCAGGGCTGCTCCAGAGGGTGGGAAGTCTCCAAGGAACTTCCTGGGGAAGGCCTGGCTGGAGAATGGTCTGGGAGATGCTGAAGGAAGGAGGGATGTGCTTTAAGTGAGGCAGTTTCTCTCCTCCAGCTCATAGGACAAGATGTAACACCCAGAGAACTGGTGTGGGAACAGCAGAGCTTCCTTAATGGGGGTTTTCTGTGCTGACCTTTTGTTTGCTGGTGATTTGGCTGATTCTTTCCTTTTTTTTTTCCCCAAAAAAGCTATACAGCTCATTGCAGCAGTCTGAAAGTTATTTTCTTTTGAAGCATTTGCAGGGTGAAGGGCTCTGTGTGCTGCTCACAAGGCATTTTCCTGATGGATGTCCCACATCATCTTACACGTCTTCCCAGAAAATCTGTGGCTGCCCCATTCCTGGGAGTGTCCAAGGCCAGACAGGGCTTGGAGCAACCTGGGATAGTGGGAGGTGTCCCTGCCCATGGCAGGGGGTGGGACTGGATGGGCTTTAAGGTCTTTCCAACCCAAACCATTCTGTAATTCTGTGATTTTTATCACTTATCAAAATTTAACAAAAACCTCAGGCCTTAACGAAATGCTGACCAATGATAACGTTTAAAACCCACTTTTTCCTAGTGAATCATTAGCATGGATAAAAGTCTAGGACCCTGAAGTCAGAACTAAAAGCCTGGTCAAAGGAAGTGGAGGAAAGGCTGCAAAGTAAACCCAAACCTTTCAGTGATTCCGTGATCTTGGTGTGGTTTTTTGGGCAAACAGGAGCTGCCCCCAACTTCTCCCCGTCACAGAAAAGTCACAACAACATTAAAATGCTGCTGTTGTCGTGGGCAGAGTGTTCTGGAAAGCTGGGGAAGGAAGGAGCAGCTGTAATGAAGTGATATATTGTTGGTCTTGGGGCTACAGTGGTTAAGGAGAAGTTATAGCTCTGCCTAACAAGGAAAAAAGCAATTTCTTAGACTTGAACTTTGCAATAATGAAATGTGAAACCGTGTGTTGGAATCACTTCTGTAGCTAAGGGCCATCTGCTGCTGATGGATCAGAATGTCCTCAGCTCCAAAGACATTCACTGAAAGGCCCAGAATAGTTTTTTTTGGAGTTTTAGAGCATCTCGGGGTTACTCATAACCAATACCTCAAGCCATAAACCCGCTTTGATTTGCAGGAAAAATAGAAAGACTCCAACTCAGAAAGTAGAAAAGAAAAAAAAAAGAGAAAAGATGAAGTTGAATTCAAGTCTGTATTTGAGGCAGCAACATCAGGGAACGTGCAGAGCTGTGTGTGGCTCTGAGAACATCACGGATGCAGCATAAAAAACAGGATTTTGCAGAGCTGCTTCTGCAAAACACGGATTAAAAATAAGAGTATCACCGTTTCCAAATGTTCCTTTTTACATCAGGCTCACCAGTATTTAAGTGTGGCCCTTGTGTACTCCCCCTAATGTGGCTGTAAGGAGGATCTAGCAGAGTAATTAGAGATAAGCCACTTTTCAATTATCTGCTACCTGCTGCTACCCACTGGTGGACATCAATTCCTGGCAGATAATTTTATCCTTGTGTTACTTGAGAACCTTTGGACATCGTGTGCTTGACCTAAATTTTTAATGGCATTAGGGAGGCCTAGTTAAATATAAAAATAAGGATTTTGGAGCACAGCTCTCTGTTAAAGTTCCTTGGGCTGTGTTTTTCTTGTGTTCGGCTCAGCATGGGAATGTTTTTTTGTTGTGCTTTGGCTACAGAAACTGGCTTTTAAACTTGAGCATGAATTGACTGACACAACCCATTAGAAGCTGCGTTGGAGAATGGGAGAGAGCACAGAAAACTCATCAAAGGGAGTTATGACCATGGTTTTGACAAAGGATAACAGTGAAAAACAAAGAATAACAATCCATGGGACTGAACACAGTCCAAATCTCACTCGTGATGCATCATTTTTTGAACCCCTTATAGCCCTGAAATGTAGGATGTACAGTGTTTTCAGTGAAAAAACCCAGATATATTTCAGTTTTTCTATTAGAAATCATTATGAGGTGTTTCTTAAACTCAAATCTAAACTCAGCCTCATCCAAATCGTGGAATTTAATACAGAATGAGGTTTCTACACTTAAACACTCTCAAGTTTTCTACTTTATAAAGTTCCAATTAAGAAAGAAAGTGTCATTTCAACAGTTAAAAATTAATTATCAAGCTTGTGAAACTAGTTTTATAGCAGGAGGGAATCTTGTGCCTTATTCCTCCTGCAACAAAAATATCCCAGGTAAGGTTGGACCAGATGATCTTCCAAGATCCTGGGCTGTTCTAGGCTTGTAAATGTTCAAAGGCATGAAAAATCCTTCTTGTGTCACCAGAGTGGTGACAGAAGTATCTGCCTGTATTTGATTTTCCTCCAGGGATGGATTCCGAAAGTCCAGCTCCAGTGAAGATGCACATTCATGGAATTTGATGGTGAGTCAAAACTAAAAATATTGTACATTTTTTTTCAGCAAGAAACCCCAAGTTGTGCCTTTTGCAAATTTTGAACTCAGCTTTCTTTAAGGTATCATCTGATCTCAGCCAGACCCTCGAAGTGTAAAGTTGCAGGAAAAATAAAAAATAACCACTTTCTCAGACTTTTCTGGACCTTAAAAAAAAAAAGGGTTTGGCTCAGGGTGAGCTTGAGGAATGAGCAGCACCACTCAGAGGTTCTTCTTTTCCCAGGCAAGCTGTTCCATCCCAAACTTTA